AGCTACATGTAAAAGAATGAAATTAGAATACTCCCTAACTCCATACACAAAAATAAACTCAAAATGGATTAAAGACCTAAATGTAAGGCCAGACACTATCAAACTCTTAGAGGAAAACATAGGCAGAACACTCCATGACATAAATCACAGCAAGATCCTTTTTGACCCACCTCCTAGAGAAATGGAAATAAAAATAAAAATAAACAAATGGGACCTAATGAAACTTAAAACCTTTGCACAGCAAAGGAAACCATAAACAAGACGAAAAGCCAACTCTCAGAATGGGAGAAAAGATGTGTAAGTGAAGCAACTGACAAAGGATTAATCTCCAAAATTTACATGCAGCTCAATATCAAAAAAACAAACAACCCAATCCAAAAATGGGCAGAAGACCTAAATAAACATTTCTCCAAAGAAGATATACAGATTGCCAACAAACACATGAAAGAATGTTCAACATCATTAATCATTAAAGCAATGCAAATCAAAACTACAATGAGATATCATCTCACACTGGTCAGAATGGCCATCATCAAAAAATCTACAAACAGTAAATGCTGGAGAGGGTGTGGAGAAAAGGGAACCCTCTTGCACTGTTGGTGGAAATGTAAATTGATACAGCCACTATGGAGAACAGTATGGAAGATCCTTAAAAAAGTAAAAATAGAACTACCATACGACCCAGCAATCCCACTACTGGGCATATACCCTGAGAAAACCATAATTCAAAAAGAGTCATGTACCACAATGTTCACTGTAGCTCTATTTACAATAGCCAGGACATGGAAGCAACCTAAGTGTCCATCAACAGATGAATGGATAAAGAAGATGTGGCACATATATACAATGGAATATTACTCAGCCATAAAAAGAAACAAAATTGAGTTATTTGTAGTGAGGTGGATGGACCTAGAGTCTGTCATACAGAGTGAAGTAAGTCAGAAAGAGAAGAACAAATACTGTATGCTAACACATATATATGGAATCTAAAAAACAAAACAAAAATGGTTATGAAGAACGTAGGGGCAATACGGGAATAAATATGCAGACCTACTAGAGAATGGACTTGAGGATATGGGGAGGTGGAAGGGTAAGCTGGGACAAAGTGAGAGAGTGGCATGGACATATATACACTACCAAATGTAAAATAGATAGCTAGTGGGAAGCAGCCACATAGCACAGGGAGATCAGCTTGGTTCTTTGTGACCACCTAGAGGGGTGGGATAGGGAGGGTGGGAGGGAGGGAGACACAAGAGGGGAGAGATATGGGGATATATGTATATGTATAACTGATTCACTTTGTTATAAAGCAGAAACTAACACACCATTGTAAAGCAATTATACTCCAATAAAGATGTTAAAAAAATGTGGTTAAACACACATAAATTTTAATAGTTTATATATTATTCTTAGAAATTAAAAAATTACTGCTAGACAATAGGCATAATTGAATCTTTGATAGTAGGAGTAAGTTAAAAGCCAGTAAAAATATCCTTTAGTACTCCTAGTTATTATTCATATTAATCTAATTGTGGATAAATTAGAAACTAAAACACACACACACACCATCATTATTTTTGTGCAGACTATTGAATGCCTGCCTCATTTTTCTCTCATGGCCTTTAAGGCATAAATTCTTCAAAGTTCAATCTGGAATCAGCATTGGCATCTACAGCTTTAAAAATATCCTACAAGAAAGAAGGAACTCATTACAGAGATGTATCGCAAGTGAAGCTACTATACCATGCTCACATTGGCACATTTTACTCATGTTGATTATGATTTCTACCAGCACCCACTGTCCTAGTTTTTCAATCACAGCTACAAAGCTAAGCACATTAGGTGATTTTTAATTTGTGCAGTACTGGAGTCAAAAGCCATCATGTCATTCCAAATAATTATGAGTCTTATATGTAAGTATTTACCTAGGTAAACAATGAATGCCAAGTACCTTGAGGGAATAAAGATATGAAGGTACGTAGTCTTTGCCATCAGAGACCTCACACTCTATTAACTAAATGATAGAAAATATGTGAAATTCTAGTATGACCCACAAATTAATGATTTGAGACCTAGCCTTATGAAGTAAGAGTGTATGTTCAAATCTCCCTGGGGTGGTCTGCTTTTTTAAATAAAAAATTAATAATCATAATTTTTAAATGCACATCATATATATTTCTAGCAGACTCCTACCTCAAATGTAGAGCCCATGTCTTGTTCATCCTTGTACCATCAATGGCTAGGATAAAGTATGACATTCAAAGGTCCTTAATCTATATTTATTGAATTAATAAATACTGTGAACGGGGCAATGGACTACGTGGTAGGGATTAAAAGAAAAGCAGATGCAGTCCCTGCCCTGAAGGAAGTTACAGACTAGTAGAGACCATTCACATAACCAAAGAGAACCTGTTAGGTGATGTGATGGGAATGTTCAAGGTACAGTGGAGTTTGGGGTGGATTCAGGAAAGCCTTCACAGAGGGAGGGGACTTGAATTGAGAATTGCAGAGAAAAACTGGCCTTAGCTGGGCAGACAAATGGGACAGGGCATTCCAAGAATATGTGACAATATCTGTAAGCAGGCAGAACATATGTTAGTTAGAAAAAACAATAATAATGATAATAATAACAGCTAATATTTATTGAGCACTTACTTCTAAGCACTTTATATGTATACTGCTATGACCCATTTCTGAGAAACAGGAAAGCCTGATAGCTTTCAATGTGGACCACAGTGGGAAAGAGCTCTTCAACATGTCCTAGTCATAGAGCAAGCAGCCCTGCCTCTTGGGCCACCTAACCCAGCAAACTCTATGGTACTGAAAGTATCAGAGGTATAAAAAGATATTGTGTGGAGTTTATAGCAAGCCCCAAAAGGAGAGTCTGCAGCAGAAAACTGTAACAGTTCCTGACATGCTATGGGGCCCTGGTAGAAACAGATTGCTTAAATATGGGACATCAAATGACCATACAGCCAGGGTTGACTATCATGAATTGGGTTCTGTCAGACCCACCAAGTCATAGGTTTTGGTGAGCCGAGCAGCAATCCATATGATGGAACAGTACATCTGAGATCAAGCACAAGCAGAATCAGAGCACAAACAAACAAAACAAAGAATGGCTCAGATCTCCAGGCCCCACCACTGTTATACCATCACCTCTCCTTAAACTCACTCCTACAACGATTTGGAAGTTCATTATGACCAGCCAACACAGGAGGAAAAGGGAAAAAGGATAAGCTTGGTCCATGGATGGGTTTCTGAGTATGTGAATGCAAACTGAAAACAGCCTGATATGCACTACACAACCACTCAGGAATAGTCCAGAATGACAGCAATAAGGGGAGAGAAGAATGTCAAGTGGTGTACCTGATCATTCACTTTATGTAGAAAGGGAAGTGGCCAGAAATAACAATATATAGGGACTCATGGGCAGTGGTGAGTAGCTTGGTTGGATGATCAGTAGCCTGGAAAGAAAAAGATTAGAAGATCAGAGACACAGAGGTCTGGGGAATATGCATGAGGATGGATATATGGGAGTGAACAAAAAGTAAAAATATTTTCATATTGTATAGTTGCTACCATGGAAGAGGTACAAAACAACCAAGTAGACAGAGTGACCCAGCCAGCTGAAGTCAGCCAGACTGTCTCATCAGCTGACATAATGAACAGCAGTGCTGACACAACGGGCTCTGGAATGGAGCAGCCATGGTAGCGGAGATAGATGCTATCCATGGACCAACCAGTATGAGTCCCACTTACCAAGCCTAATATAGCTACTGCTGCCACCAAATGCCCAACCTACTACCATCAGAGACTAATACTGAGCCACTGACACAACACCATCCTTTCAGGGAATTTACCAGCCACTGAGCAGCCAGTTGATTACTCTGAAGCTATTCTACCTGGAAAGATACAGTGTTTCATCTTGACTGGAACTGACACATACTCTAAGCATGTGTTTGCCTTATTTGCCTGCAGAGCCTCAGCTAGCAGAACAATCCAACAGTTAGAGCGTTTGATCTTACGACATGTGTATATATATACAGTACATTGCATTGGACCAAAAGTCCTATTATACTGCAAAGGGGCCATATAATGACGACAGGACCCACCAGTCCTATCACATAAAGCACTACCCAGAAGCTGCTGGTTTGCTATAGTGACAGAACAAACAAGTGGTTTTCTTCCAAGTGACAGCTTAAAGATAATACCCTTCATGAATGGAATACCATTCTCGAAGACACAGTATACACGCTAAATCAGTATTCATGCTAATGTTCCTATATCCCTACCATTCCTCTCTGATTCCTACCTCTCTGTCAGGTTTATTCTCTGATATTCCTTCTCACAGAAGCAGAAGCCTAAGATACAGACTGAGGTATAGTGTCCTGGAATTCTGACCTAAAAGAAGGATGTATAACCAGAGACTGTCCTAAGAGACAGGACCAAGGGACAAAAGAAAAATAAAGCCATGCAGATGGTTTCATTAAGTCATCAATCTGAAGGTACTAAGCAGAGTGGGAGGATATAGGATTGAGATAATGAAATAAAAATCAAATCAGAGCAATACATTTTGGAGCACAGAACTCTTAAGGAATTTCCTGAGCCATGGGAACCGTTTGGATCTCTAACACACACACACCCTCACCGATACAGCTGAACAAGTACAGTAATATCAGAAGACTGTTTTGCATTGATAAAGTGGAAATAGAATAATAGTTTTCTCTTGGTATTCTGAAACTTCCATCTAAACAGTTTTTAAATAATCAAGACTCATCTAGAGAAGAAACACATCCCTAATTTAGGCAAGGTACTAAAACAATCAGCTAAAGTGTAAACCCATGGATCAAGGTGTGACTCCCCCTCCATCTTTGATGTGGGAGAGCAGCTCTGGGGACCCATGTGTGCCTGTCGTTTGAAGAAGGCCCTGAAGTGTGAATCCTGGGCTGTGAACCTTTAGAGAAAAGATAAGGTCTTTGACTCCTGCATTCACAAAGGCTAATGCAGCCCCTGAAATTCTGTGCCAGTTCAGTAAATGGTGAACGAGTCACCAGAAACCCACTCAGCATCTCCCAAAAAGCCCGAGAGAAGGCTGCGGTGTTTGTGGAAAGTGACCGTTTTGAGAAGGTGGAGGTGTATTGCTGGGCTGCCTTATCCCTCGTGAGGGGTTCACGGAAGAGAAGCCCACTCAGGGCCCTTCGGAGCAGCTCTGGAAAGGGCGAGTCTGGATTTGAGACAGGCTGGGACCTGGGACCCTTTGCTGCAGTGCTTGCACCTGGACAATCATCTCCTCCAGCAACAAAATACAAAGAAACTATAAGGGACTAAAACTAACTGCTTACATGCACAGCTGGGGCAAATTATGAACAACAAGGTACAAAAAGACCAAGAACCCAACTGCCACTTCTGAAGAGCCCAGAGCAAAAGCAGGAGTTTGGGAGCAAAAGCAGGGTACTGCCCATGCCCCCAGAACGCACCACCACCCAAGGGGTGGGCAAACCACCTAAGCCACGCCTCCCGCCCCACCCCGGGACACACCCTGCCCTCATCCCATATTAGGAGCCAGCTTCCCCCCCTCCCCCGAGGAAGCAAGCAAGGGAAGCTGTTGCTTGTTTTTACTATCCCCTGTTGCAGCAAGGGCCCCAAGAAAGCCTTGCTTGAATTTCTTGTCTGGCCTCCTATCAATTTTTATTGATTAAGGAAGGCCAAGAACCCTGGTGGGGAATCTCTCTGGGCTGGCGGGGCCACATCCTCCCGGCCACTCACCTTCTCTGAGTGCAGGACAAAAGAGGAGCTCCAGTTTTTCAGGCCCTCTTGGGGCTCCACGATGTCCACCAGCGCGTCTCCGTTGTGGTCCAGGTCTTGGAAGAGGATCTTGTAGCGGAAGTAGTCGTCGTCGTCGGTGTGGCAGGTCGCCGCGAGCAGCACGAAGCCCCGCAGCCAGCGCAGCATGGCCCTGCCGGGGCTGGGCCGCGGCGGCGGGTATCGCAGGCCGCCTCTCCTTCTGGTCCCAGCGAGAGCGTCCCGCCGGCGGCCGCGCCACCTGCCGCCTTCTCGACGCCGCGCTCGCGCAGGGCGGCGGGTCCGCGCAGTCAGCGCGAATGCGGCGGCGGCTGGACGCGAGCCGCCGCGGTTCCGAGCAGCCTAAGGCGAGGGGCCCCGCGCCTGTGGCTCTCGGGCGGCGCCAGGGGAGCCTCGGAAGGCCCGCCACGTGGGAGGCCGTGGCCCAGGCGCTACGCTGGAGTCGGCCCTCCCGGAAGTTGGAAGCTGAGGCTCCAAACGCGACGGCCAAGACCGTTCCAGCCTACGGTCGACTCGGGAGCTGAGGGGAGTTTGAGGAGAGGAGCGCCTACCCCAGCGTCGAGAGAGCGCTCGGGCGTCGAGGATCTCACCGGGCAAACGCAGCGGGCCTGCGGCAGCAGGTAAATAAGTTGCTCTGACCAGCACCTCTAACCACCTACCTCACTGAGCTACCTCGTCACAAAATCCACAGGAAACTTAAAAATCCTTGCCTTATTTAATCCCAGCCTTGTTTAAACACCGCTGACCACGCCTTCCATCCAGAAATACCTTTTCCTTTGTCTTCTGGAACACCACGTATTTCTGCCATTCCTCAAACTCTCTTACAGGCTCCCACAAAAAGAGCCTGAATTCTTCTAAAACAGAGGCTCTAGAAAATTGCAGTAGATAGGGTTGAGGGATTAGGTAAAAACCTGGTTCTGTAATTTGTTGCATTGAAGCTTTGTGTCCCCAATCCGTAGTCATGTCCTTTGAAAGTCAATGGCACAGTCTAATGATAGGCCCACCAATGTTTTGAAAAGTTTTCTCATAAAATTCCAGACCACAGAGTAAAGTTCACTTATTTCTCAAAATAGCAGTTTTAATAATAAAATAATAATAACCTTATTTATTATTTAATAAATATTATTTAATAATAATAACCTTAAGATGTTATCTATTCCATGTAGTTTTTATACCAGACACTTTGTTAAATGCTAGAGATATAAAGATACAGAACATTGAATCTGCTCTCATAGAAGCTCACTATCTAGTGTGCTCTAAGTTTATAAACAAAATTCAACTTAATAAAAATATGCTATAATTAAGATGTGACCAAATGTCATAAAATATGTGTTTTTAAATGAATGAGTTTTAGGAATTAATAATAAAACAGAAAACTATTAATAAAGCTTTTAGAAAATATTCTAAGTGCTAGGCATTTATAAATACAAAAGACTTTTTTTCTTTAAAAAATAATTAACTGTCAAAAACAAATACAATAATATATTGTGGAACTTATAACATGCAGAAGTGAAATGTATGACAGCAATAGTAAAAAGGATGTGAGAGGAGACATGGAAGTATACTGCTAAAAGGTTCTTACATTATATGTGAGGTAGTATACATTTAAAACTGCATGCTAGAAACCCTAGAGCAACCATTGAAAAAAACATGGAGGTATAGCTAATAGAACAATAGAAGAGATAAAATAAAATACCAAAAAATACTGAATTAATACAAAAGAATATAAGAGGGGAAAAGGAAAAAGAACAGTTGAGGTAAGCAAGATAAGAAAGATGTGGGACTTAAAACCATGTAGGTAATTTAAGTGTAACATTCTATACACTCCAATTAAAAGGCAGAGCAAACAAGACCCAACCATATACTTTCTACAAAAATGAAATATAAAGATACAGATAGGTTAAAAGTAAATGGATGGATAAAGAAATACTGTGCAAACACTAATCGTGAGGAAGCTGGGGTAGCTATATTAATATCAGCCAAAGAAGACTTTAAGACAAGGAAGACATTTTATAATCTTAGGAGGGTTGATTCATCAAGATGATTTAACAGTCATAAGGTGTATGCCACCTAATAACAAAGCTTGAAATTACATAAAGTAAAAATGGACAGAGTGCAAAGAGAAATAGATAAATACACAATTAGAGTCAAATAATTGATAGAATGAGGAAGCAAAGTCAATAGGGTATAAAATGTTTCAATAACATGATCAACTAATTGACATTAATAGAACAGTACACCCAATAACAGCAGAATACCCATTATTTTCACCTGCACATGTAAAGTTGAAAGACTAACCATAACCATATGCTGGACCATAAAACAAGTCAATAAATTTTAAATGACTGAAATCATACAGAGTATGTTCTTTGACCACAATGGAATTAAATTAGGAATCAATCACAAAAAGATAGTGGAGAATACACAAATGCTTGGAAATTAAATAATATACTTCTAAATTACACATGGATCAAAGAAGAAATCACATGAAAAATAGGAAAATATTTTGAACTGAATTATAATGAAAGCATATCAAAATATGTAGAATGCAGCTAAAATAGTGCCTAGAATTAACATAGCTTTAGATGTTTGTATTAGAAAACAAGAAAATTTTAAATATGTGATCTAAGGTTCCACCTTAAGTAATTAGAAAAAGAAGAGCAAATTAATGCCAAATAAGTAGCAAGAAGGATTTTAAAGTAAACACTTGAAATGAATGAAATAAAAGACAGTAAAGAAAATTAGTAAAAGTAAAAGCTAGTTTATTTGAAAAAATTAATAAAATTGATAAACCTGTAACTAAACCAATAAAGAAAAAAAACTACCAATAGAAAACATCACTGCAAATTCTAGACATGCTAAAATAATAATAAGAGAACATTATGAACACCGTTATGGCAATAAATTTGACAACTTAGATGAAATGGAAACATTCCTTGAAAGACATATTGTCAAAGCTGACAAAAGCAGAAATAGTCAACCTGAATAACCATCTATGTAAAACTGCAGCTAACAGTCATACTTAATGGTGAAAGACTAAGTGTCTTCTCCCACTAAGACAAGGTAACAAGGTAAGAATGTCTCTTCTCACCCCTTCTATTCAACGATGTACTGGATGTTCTAGCCAGTTTAGTAAGGCAAGAAAAAGGGAAAAGCATACATATTGGAAAGAGGCAAGTCAAACTTTCTTTATTCTCAGATGGCATGATCATTTACATAGAAAATCACAAGGAATCTACAAAAAAGCTCCTTGAATTAATAAGTGAATTTAGCAAGATTGCCAGATATGTCAATATAAAAAATTATATTTCTATATATAACAATAATTGGAAAATAAAATCTAATACCATTTACAACAGCGTCAAAAATTGAAATAGTAATAAATTTAATTAAATATGTGCAATATCTGACACTAAATGTGAAAATATTTTTGAAGAAAATACCTAAATAAATGGAGAGATACATCATCTTTATAGATTGAAAGGCTCATAGATTGGGTCATTTCTCTCCAATTTGATTTAGAGATTTATTGTGATCCCAAACTAAGTCCTAACAGGCTTTTTTATACAAGCTGACAAGCTGATTCTAAAATTTATATGGAAATGCAAAGGATGTTGAATTGCTAAAGCCATTTTGAAAAAGAGTAAGTTTCAGAGGCCAGAAGTAAACCTACACATATATGATCAATTTATTTTCAACAATTCAATGGGGAAAGGGTAGTCTTTTCAACAAGTGGTGCTGGAACAATAGGATATCCATAAAGGAAAAAAAACTTGAAACTTTATGTCTTGAAAAGACACCATTAAGAAAATGGGCAAGACAGAGTCTGGGGGAAAATGTTTCAATACACATATCTGACAAAGGACTTGTATCCACAATACTAAAGAACACTTAAAATAAAATATTACAAACAACCCAATTTTTTTAATCAGCAAAAGATTTGAACAAACATTTCACAAAAGATATGTGAATGACCGATAAACTCATAAAAAGATGCTCAAAAATCTTTAGTCATTACAGAAATATGAATTAAAACTACAATGAGATACCACTCTAGAATGGATAAAATTTAAAACACTAACAGTATTAAGTGGTGCTGAGGATATAGAACAACTTAAACTCTAATATGTTGCTGGTGGGAATGGAAAATAGTATAATCAAAAAGATAGTTTGGTAGTTTCTCATAAATTGAACATACACTTAGTATATAATCCAGCAATTCCATCTCTGTGTTTTTACTTTAGAGAAATGAAAGTATGTGTCCAAAAAAAGACTTGTACACCAATATTCACAGCAGCTTTATTTATAATAGCCAAAAAGTAGAAGCAACATTCTTCATCAGATAAGTAGATAAACAAATTGTGGTATAGTCATGCAATGGAATACTACTCAGCGTTCAAAAGGAATGAACTCCTCATACACACATGGATAAAACTCAAATACATTGTGGGAAACAATAGAAATCAGAATGTGATAGTGGTTACACAAATATATACTTTCATAGAAATTCATCACAAGGAATACTTAAAATGAGTGCATTTTATTAAATGTAAATTATGCCTCAACAAAGTTGAGTTTTAAAGTTAAGCAACTAGCTATTACTAACTAAATTTTGCTGAATATTTTCACATACATACAGTATACATACAGTATTCTGTACATTTTGGGTTAGTTATAGATATTAAGGGAAACTATAGTAGGAATGTAATCAAACTGCTCACCAGGAAAAAAATTACATATATCATATTATGGCTAGTTATGTTTCTATCTGATGACAGGAACAGAGTCTTACTCAGTCTCCCCAGAGTGTAGCAGAGTTCTAAACAGAAAAAGACTTCCATATTTGTTTAAAGTATGGAATTATTAAATCTGTAAACAAGGTTAGAGGGATTTTAATTCCATTGACCGTAAACCTAACTTTTTCTAGTATTTAGTGTTTGGCGTGGGACTTAAAATCTCTCCATAGTTTGTTGGTTTTTTTTCTTTCCCATCTCTATTCCTTTATTAACTTCTTTCAACCATAAGATTAAAAGCACTAGAAGACACACTTGAGCTTGAATCCCACCTCTACCGCTTACCACTTATGCAACCTTAGGCAAACTACTTAACTCCTCAAAGACTTCATTTTCTCATCTGTAACAATTATACCTGACTCATAAGATCATTATCAAAGTGAAAAAAAATAATGATATAGAGTGTTTACAACTGGCCCATGGTGAGCATTTAAAAGTTTGCTATTACTACTTTCGTTGTTAGAAACTATATCCTTACAACAAGCAGTATGAAAATTTTCTTAGTGGGCTATTTTGGTGTAATAGTATCAGTTTTTAAAAAATTCCTAGGGCTATGGCAGATACTTTGGACTGGCTCTTCCAACCTTCATTCTACATTGCTCTTTGGAGACTGTGGAATGCTCAAAACTGCATTTCTAAACTCCTTTGAAGTGAGGTTTCTGTATAAAAATTAGATTCCCCCAAAAACCTTACACAGAATTTGGAAAGAGTAAGTAAGACTGCTTCCTCCTGTTGTTTCAGCAGGCAAGCAAGGTCATGAATATTAGAGTTTAGATAAGTTTTGGTGCCTGGACTCAGCATTCCAATGTTTATTCACCTATTTCATG